GAAAACCTAAAGGATACATAGGTTCTTGGTCGAAAGATATAGGATTTTCATGCATTTTTCCAATGATAGCCTGCCTTTTAAACATGTCTTCTATTTTCTGCATCATGCTATCTTGTGAATTTGCAATATTGGCTTCAATTTTCTCCAGCTTCATTCTCATTTCAGCTTGTTCTTTATTATGTTGTTCCTCAATACGTTGTATTTTATCCTCCATAATTCTCTTAGTAGCTTGTCTAGTACCGTAGTGATGTTGTATTTCTCTTTTGGCCAGAATAACTGTGATTGAAAAATCTTTTGATATTATTTTTTTTTTCAAATTTTAATTAATGAATTTTATCTTAATAATAAAAATTATCCATAAAGAAAATCATGAAATGAATAATGAATGAATGCAAAATGTATGTATGCAAAAAGGTATTGATCCCAAAAAGTTTAACTATCATAGAACAACTTTCATCGGCATACAAAAGTTTCTTTATAATAGTTCATAAACTACAGATAAGGCGTAGCTTTCCTATTAAGCTCTATAATTTCTTTCATTAACCATGACACCTTCTTTCCGAACTTAGAAACTGGATCAACGTGATGCTCAATTATTTTAGCTTCAACAGCTAGTTCCCCAACATATCTAGCAACTTCGCTCATTTGTACCATGGCCTCGAATACCATATTACTTCTTTCTTCACTTCTTTCTACATAGAAATCAGTTGACTTTTGCCATTGTTGATTAGTTCCTTCAAGAGTTTGCTCTAACTCAGTGATTCTGACTTGACAATTGTACAGAGTTTTTTCAAGATTTCTAATGCGTCTTCACAGTGAAGAACTTTCCTCATTACTTTCTTTGAGATCATTAGGTCCTAGACGAATCTTTTCTTGAAATAATAACTCTTCAAGTTACAAAATGTAAGCATTAAACTCTACATTTTTGTTTCTAGACTGATCCAGATCCTCTTTAAGTTTTGTTCGTGCTTTTTGTGTTCTTTGATTAAGCTTCTGGATTTGAACATTCTTGTTTCTGCATCTTTGCATCCAATTGCTAGCCATTTCTTGCTCTACTTCAAGTTTGGTGTTGAAATTCTTTCTTTCCAGTTCCCATTTTTCTTTTTCAATATTGAACTCTTCAATCTTTTGGCCTCTGACTTCAAGTTCGGCAATCAGCTGGTTCATTTTAGATTCAAATCCCTTGAACATGATATTTTTCTCACCTTCAAATTTATCAAAGATGTCATTCTTCATTTCTTCTAAATCTTTGGCTCGATCCCTTTCTCTTTGCATTTCATTCATGATCTCACGGTGTTCAGCTTTGTGTTTTATAATTCGCTCTCTTCTGTCAACCTCAAAATCTTCCATTTTTTGCTTTCCTTTCTCAAGACTTTTGAGTAAATGGCTATTCTTTCCTTTCAGATCTTCAACTCGACTTTTCTCGATGTTCAATTCTCTGGTCATTTATACTGTTGATTGGCTTGGTCCTGATGCTTTCCGGGATTTATATAACTCCTGGTAATTTTTCTTTAATGCTCTGAATTCACCATCAACTTTTTCTTTGTTTTCTCTCAACATTGCACATTGTGATGAATGAAAGTCAATGTCAACACCCAACATAGCTTTATCTCGTCTCATTTGCTCTAATTCTCTCGACCAACCTTCTCTTTCTGCTTCAAACTCGGCTCTTAGGATTTCAATCTCTGATGGAACCACCTTAATGCGATCTTCCATAGAGATATCCTCATTTTGATCTGGTAGAGGAATATTTTCATTTTTCCTGACAGATCTACATTCCTCATAATCAGGAGTTAGCATTTCTTTTGCTGCTTTAGCTCGGATACAAAAGTTGTTTTCCAAGCTGTAAAGGCTTCCATGATATTTCTTTTATAATTTTTACTGTGGAATGCGAACTCAGATGAATGTAATCCAGCAGTGACAGGTACAAATTGACGACCTTCATACTGTCTTATGACCAGAAGTGGTGCATATACAATTCCTCCCCACAATCCGAGCAGCATTATCCAGTTGTAATCACCACATTTGTAAAAGAATTCCCTTTGGATTTGCCACGGGGCTCGCCAAACAATGTCATTGCTTTGCAGATTTCGAAAGGCATTAATCCACATATCTTTCTTAATTTCTTTCGGCCATTCTTGCTCCAGAAATTCTTTTAATGGTGAGTAATCGTATTAAAGCGTCGGTATGAACCTTTTCTGTCCTCCAGAAATGGCTACGGATCCAAACATATAACATTGGGTACACCCTGAGAATCGTCCACCTCCTAGCTTTCTACAGCATTTAACGATCTGAAAGTCTCTGCTAGAATTACAGAAGCAGGATTAATCTTTTTTGGTAGCTGCTCAACAAATCTACTACTGCAGCTTCAATATCCCAATACTTTTGGGAAGATGACCATACATACACCCAGAGCAATAGATCGAATCGTACTTTAGTGTCTGGATGACTCTGAATAAGTTCTTTAATATTAGTCCAAGCAATGCCTTCGCTTTCGCCTTTTTGTTTTGTACGGGATGCCACCCATTCTTCTCGTACTCCGGCAATCTTTGCTAATTTAACTCGAAAGGGTTGAGTTTTAATTGACTTTGAATAAATTCGATTCTCCAAAGCCCCTTCTATATGTAGCAAAGTTGTGTACTCTTCAATAGTAGGGACCAAGTCCTCCTTATTGAGAGTGAAGCAATTGTACCTGGATTCCAGAATTGAATTAGGGCTCGAAGTAAGTCATCATCAACTTCGACATAGAGCAAATATGGGATGTCCGTAAATTGATAAAACTGCAACTTTTGTTTGAGTCCCAACTTTCCCAAATGCTTCGCAAATCTTGCATTTATTTCTTTTTAGCGAAACTGGAGCATAACTGGCCAAGTCAGATACATAGTCATCTTGCAGACTGTTCCTCCTTGTCTTGTAAGTCCTCAGCCCACTGTCTACTTCTGAGTTTAGAATTATTGATTTGAATACTTTTATCCATGGATGAAGGCTTTAATGAGACAATTAACACGAGGATCAATGCCTTTATCCTGTATGATGCTATGCAAACAGAAGAAATAAAGAACACACAAAAAAATGAATTAGTTACTAATAAAGAAATTTAATAATAATATCTACCTAAATATCTTATTAAACATGCTTTTTCATAATTTAAATAATTTAATTTACATGTAATTTAATCAGTAAGAAAATAAATAAATAAATTAAAAGGAAAGTTAGAATTCATTTCTCTGTGTACACCTATTTTGGACAAAATTCGGCATGGCTTCAGATCGGAAGAGTTTCTAGGGTTTATGCAAGGTTCAGATCTAAGAATAAAGGTACCCGAATTGTCCTTGTTAGTGCCCCTTGGGTTGCTAACCCTCAATCCTAGTCCATCACAGACTAAAGTGGATCGAGTTCAATTCGAGGGGATACATTCTCTATGCTGACCGGAGAATAAATTCTCACGAAGACGTCGCTTTCACTCACTTAAAAGGACAACTCAATATAGAGCTTTATGTTATGCAATGCAAGTGTTGTGTGAAAGGAGAAATGTTCAAACCTCTGACAGAAAAAATAAAGAATGAAATAAAATACTTGCAAATAAAATAAAATATAATAAGAAAAATATAAATATGAAAATAATAAGTATATAAAAAAATTTGAAAAGAAAGAATTATAAATCAAATATATGAATTTTTAATTTATAATTAATAGAGACAATTTATAATTGATTTTAAAAGTTTGACGTTCCTCAGCAGAGTCGCCAAGCTGTCGTAACTATTTTCGTCGGCACGAATTTTTTTACTTGGCGGGAAGTGAAAATGGTTTAAAATAATTTGGAGTGCCATCGGCCTTTTGGGTCAGGTAGGTCGAATACCTAAAAAATTATCCTTTAAAAGAGTTTTATGAAACATCATTAAAAGATAAACTGATGCGTTTAACCAAAAATTCGTTCTTTTAATAATAAAATGGATTCGTGGTCGGTTACGTTTAGTGAAGGATTAGCACCCTACAACGCCTAAAATTGGTACTTTTTTTAATTACAATTGTCTCTAATAATAGAATTTAAGAATTCAAATATATTTAATTTATAATTATGTTATTTCAAATTTTATTAATATAATATTAAGAAATATATTAATTTAAATATATTATAAAATATTATTTATTTAGGAATATCAGAAAATGACTTCTAGGTGCCTTAAGACAGCTATTTTCTTCGATATTAATAAATAATGACTAAAAATTTTCTTAAGATATAAAAATTTATTTTAATATAGTAAGATATTATTTTAAAAAATAGAAAGGGCTTCTAGGTCCTTAAGACAGCTCTTTTTTGATATTAATAAATAAAATAAATATTAAAATTTTAATAATTTAAATAAAACTAAATTAAATTTTATAATGTTTAATTATTTAAAATACCAGAATAGGACATCCAGTTGTTTTAAGACTGCCCTCTTCTTTGATATGAAAATAAATATACATTATATTTATATATATATATATATTATTATTTATGTGACTAATATGAAATAATAATAATATAAAAGTAGTAACAAATTAATATTATAAATAAATAATATTTAAAATAAATTAAAAGCAATAATTTAAATTGCAAAATTTATAAAAACAATCAGGATCAAAATGAAAGAATAAAATATTGGTGACTAAAAAGTAAAATATTAAAATTAAAGGATAATTGAATTACAAAAAAAACTTTCTAAAATGTAATTAACTTATTTAATAATTCGGGCTCTTATTTCTCTTCTCTCTCTAGCTGAGAGAATTCAGAATTCTCTCGCTTCTCTCTAAAACAGAGAGAAGCACACCGACCGGCAGTCGTTCGCCGGCGTTGACCTCGCCGCCGGCCACTGCATCCGGTGGTCGGGAAAAATGTTTTTTACACCTAAAGATAGATCGGACCATCCTATTGATGGTTCCGATGACCGTTTCCCTTAAAACATTCCCGGTCAGAGCAAATCTACAAAAATACCTTCGGTTTTCGAAGGTTTCCGATGACGTGTGAGGGCTTCGGCGATGTTGCAGTAAGTATCTCTCCGTCTTCTCCTTGCTTATTTTTGGGTTTGTGGTTGCTGGTTGTTGTGAGTTGGTCTCTATTTTTGTATCTTTGCTCTCGGGTTTGTTTCTCTGTGGCTGTTGTGGTTGCCTTTTTTTTTGTTCTCTGTTCTTCCTCCCTTTCTTCTTTTGTTGGCAGGGGGCTCGGTGACTTTAATAGCCACCACCGGTGTTGGCTTCGGTCCGATCCAAAAGGGGTTCTTCGGTGAGTCACCGGACTTCCAGTGGTGACTCACCGTTTGGGGGAGACGTGTGCGGCTGGAGTGGCTCTTCTGGAAGCCTTCGACGAGACGTGGCATCGGTGGAGATGGTGGGAGCAGCTGCGGCGGCCGCGTGGCCCTAGGGTATCATACCCTAGGGTTTGCATCTGGAGGAGTGTGGGCCGTTGGATCTCTCAGATCCAACGGCTGAGATGATGAGGCGGCTAGGGTTAGATCAAACCCTAATCTGTTAGGGTTTAGTTGGGCCATCTGAATTTGTAATTGGGCCAGATAATATGGGCATGTTTGTAATTATTTTTTTAATTATAATAATTATAATAATAATAATTATAATAATAATTATAATAATAATAAAATGGGTAAAAAAATTTAGTATCTTCAGACATTTTTCGAAAATTTTCAAAATATTTGAATTTCTCTCAATTTTTTCTTAACAAAATATTATTAAAAAATCTAAGCACCAAACCTAACGACCATATACTAGTTTTTTCAAAAATCCAACCAAATTTGTCATCTTGACGTGTTTCGTGCTGACCATTGTAGCTGCTCATTGTGTAGCGACTACAAACGACTAGTTTTTTTAAAAAATTTAAGACAAACTCGTCACCTTAACATGACGAATTCATTTTTTTAATTTTCTTTTAAATTACTTAATAAATTAAAAAAATAAATTTTTAATGAACTCATCACGTCGAAGTGATGAGTCTTAGTAAATATATTAAAATTTTGGCCTATACATGACTTATACTTAGATCATTAAAAATTATTTTTAAATAAATTCATCACCTCAACGTAAAGAATTTACATTTTACTGTAACAAATGCAGTAAATAACGTGTTAAATTTTTGATGGCCTATTGAGCCAAATAATTTATATAAAATAAAAACCAACAAATCCAATTTCCAAAAGTTCATAGCCTCCTAAACCGACCCAATTTGAAATGGGTTAACCCATAAACTCGGTTCTTTCTTTGCAGATCCGCCATTGCCGACACACTCACTAAGCTAAGATGCCGGTAAACCGATTCTTTTGGAATCATCATCGATGGAATAAAACGGCACTTGCAGTTTCAACTAAAGCCTTATTCGCTCAGAGTATTTCTAATAAACCCGGATGGATGAGTACGGTAATGTGCTTTGGAGACAGAAGCCAAGGGGCGTTAGGTCTACCCGATTAAGTGACGGGTCCCGATATCACCAGCTTCAGCGCCGGTCATTATCACTCGCTCGCTATTGATTCCCGCGGTGGACTGTGGGCTTGGGGCCGCAACCATGAATCCCAGCTGGGTCGTGATCCACTTGCCCCAAGGTCAGTTCAACAAAATGATAATTTTCTCATTTACCCAAATTTGAATTTGGTGGGAACTGATTCTTTTTATTCCTAGTCGCGTGTTTATCATGTTAAAACTTGATTTACATTGTTAGAAGGAACTAAAATTCAATCTAATTCTCCCGGGTGTGCGGTGTTTTGATTTGTTGACTGAATAACTTCACCGAAAAGGCAGATTTTTGGTCTTGGGTTTTCAGTTTTCGTATGAAGAAGGGGCCTGCTTGTTTTGGCATTGTTAGTTATATGTGACAATGCAAGGGTGTTTTTTTATGATTTTTTTTTTGATGAATTCAATGTTTAATCTAATTCGAAATGGTGAACTCTTGATTGATTTTGATTGTGAGCAGAGACTCATGGAATGATCCAAAGAGAGTGGAAGGGTTGGATCATGTGAATATTTGTGCTGCTTTTGCTTCAGGTGTTGTTTCTGCTGCCATTGGCAGTGATGGTTCAGTGTGGTTTGATGAATTCAATGTTTAATCTAATTCGAAATGGTGAACTCTTGATTGATTTTGATTGTGAGCAGAGACTCATGGAATGATCCAAAGAGAGTGGAAGGGTTGGATCATGTGAATATTTGTGCTGCTTTTGCTTCAGGTGTTGTTTCTGCTGCCATTGGCAGTGATGGTTCAGTGTGGGTATGGGGAAAGTCGAAGCGGGGGCAGCTCGGTCTTGGAAAGGATATCATCAAGGCCTTCACACCTTGCAGGGTCGAAGCTCTTGCCAGAGAAAAGATGTGCAAGGTGGGCTCCTAAATTCTTAAGGTTGATTAATTTAGCCCCTATGCTTGACTTTTAGATTGAGCACTTATATTATCCTATTAGAAGGAAATTCCATGGTTGCATTTTCTTTGACAGGTTTCATTTGGTTGGGGCCATGCTCTTGCACAGACAGAGGATGGAAAATTGTTTGGTTGGGGTTACTCAGCTGATGGTAGAGTCGGAAATGTTGGGGAATCTCTGGAGGCATCAATGCTGGACTCAAATGCCAATATATCGATGAATGGCAAACAGTTTTCAGGTTCAGGATTGGATGTTGCTGAGCAAATGGTTTTGGAAGGAATGGAGAAAGAGAAAGACATGCCAATCGGCTGGGAACCACAATTGGTCGAAGAACTGCAAGGGGTTGAAGTCAAAGACATTGTTTGTGGGCTTGATCATTCCTTGGTCCTTTGCCATAAGTATTTGTGTAGATTACACGAGGACCTTATTGGGGTTGTTGGCTTGCATCTCTGTTAATCTTGAGTGTTGAATTTCAGGTAATGGCACCTTATTGAGCTCTGGAAGCAATGTATATGGTCAGCTGGGGAGAGCCAAACTGGATCTAGGATTCTTACCTGTTGATCTAACCGCCCATCCCGTGTCAATATCATTCGGTCTTGGTCATTCTCTGGCAATTTGTGAGGTTTTATCATCAGATGTCGAAGTTGATGGAATGAGCATTTTCTCATGGGGGTGGAACCAATGTTCACAACTAGGTAGAGAAGGACCCGAGAATCTCCCGTTGATGATCGAGGGATGGGAAGCGCAAGCACCTATATCAGTTTCGGGAGGACGGGTACACTCTACTGCTGTGACGTCTAATGGAGAAGTGTGGGTTTGGGGATGCAGTAAGAACTGGCGTCTCGGGTTAGGAAGTTCGAGTGACGAAGTTGAGCCAACTCTGCTTGATTGTTTGAAAGATTTCAATGTTCTACAAGCAGTGTCAGATTTTGATCATAACCTGATCTTGGTAGATGAATGATGTTAGGAGCAGTGCCAGGTTATTTACAGAACATTTATTTATTATGATGGCTAGGTTTGTGTTGAATTAAAGTTATTCATATATTTATGTCCAATATGTATGTCATCTTAAGAGAGAAATGAAGAGTAATAACGAGTAATTATTTGTTTAAATTTTTATTTGGATGTAAATAGAGAGCTTAATATTTAATTTGTGTTAATTGTATTGAGGTTTTTCTTATGAAAAAAATGTTGAATCCTAAAATAAAAGTTTTCATTTATTTCAACTGGCTATTATGTTTTATGGTTAAAAAATGAGCAACTATTACTCTTTCACCCTTCAAAAACGAAACAGTTGTATTAAATTTAAGTTTAAAGGATATTTTTTGTCCCGTAGTAAGATTTAGTTTATTATTTTCACTTATATGATTTTTTATTAATTTAGTTCTTGAAGTTGTTTATGGTACTTATCATAATCTTCGAAGTTTGTTTTTGATTAACAAAATTGTTAGTTTTTTGTATTTATTTCACATCAGTCAATATTACTGGCATGATTTGACGATGATGTAATATTCATTAAAAAATAATAAAATATTTACTTAATACAACGGTTAAAAAATATCCTTAAAATTTTGAATTAATCTTTTAATCTCACTAAAATAAATAATAAAACTTTGAGAATTTGTTCTAATTGTTATGTTTAATAAATATTTTGACATAATTTCTTAATCCATAGGAGCATAATACTTGCAATTCTGTTAGTCGAAAAGGTTAATAAACTTCAAATGTTAGAATGAATATCCTAAACAACTTCGAAAATTAAATTGATGAAAAAACCATAAGAGCGAAAATAATAAATTAAGTCTACTATAACAAAAAAGTAACCCTTAATTTTATGATCATTAAATATATATATTAGTCAATATAGTAAATTTGATATTCATATATTGTTATTATTTTATTTAAGAGGTGAAAGATTGATAGTTGCTCCACTTTTTAAAAATTGAAAACACATTAAAATATAAAAACATAATGGCCTGCCGAAGAAACAAATAATTATGTTTATTGTATTATTATTTATTTTTGAGCAAAACAAATGAATTGGTTTAATTGGTTGCGTATTTATTAATAGGTAAAAAAACATCAGATGTCTTGTATTTTTTGAAAAAAAATAAATGTAGTATTTGTATTATTTTTCTATGATCCTCAAACTCAGAAAACAAACACAATATAACTCTTTGACCAACGTTTTTTATCGTTGACCGTGCCAATTCACGGTGTGGCGGTTTACAATATTGATGTGACAGCCCATCTATCATGTTTGAGTTACCAATTTAACTAATATGCCATGTCATTTATCGGCAAAATCAACGAGATAATGCTCTCAAATTGTTTATTTCACGAAATAATGATCTCCCTAGATTAATTGCTAAAATGGAGTGATTTCCACAGTGTTGCTGTAGGTCGCCATGCCATCCAGGCGACCTTGGAGGTCGCCATGGCATCCGGGAGAGCTTGGAGTCTCTGCATGGCTGTGCATGGCTGCATGGCAACGTGGCATGGGTCTGGATGGCAGCATGGCAACGTTGGGTAGGTCGCCAGGGCATCCCAGCGACATTGTAGGTCGCCAAGGGATCCCAACGACCTATGCCTTCTTTGCATGGCCCGAAGCTCTCACGTGCTCTGCTGTCGCTGCGCCTCTGCTCCCATGCAGCGTGAATTCAACTGCATTATTGCAGCACTTATTGCTGCATTATTGCAGCCTGTGAACTTGAATGACTCAGCGACCTATAATTGAAGCAGAGTCTGCCCGGTTGTTGTATTATATATTGGATGGATGGGGTTAATGAGTGAAACAATTAAGAGAGAAAGAAAGGGAGAAAATAGCAAAGGAGAAGATAGCAGAGAAAAGAGGAAGAAGAAGAAAGGGAGAGCACAATATCGAGGTAAGTTTTTTATTATTTTAATTAGTTATTATTTTAAATTATTATTTTGTTAGTTTATGGTTTAAGTTAAAACAAAATTTTAGTTAATTATTTAATTAGTTTGTTTGATGGTTATATATTAAAAAAATAATTAATTAGTGTGTTAGTTAGTTTAATATTTAATTAGTTTATAGTTAGTTAAATAGTTAAGTTATATTTTGGTTGTTGAATTTATATTATATAAAAAATTAGTTTATTAGTAGTTTAAGTTTTATTATAATAAAATGGTTTATTAGTTTAAGTTATATAAAAATAATTATTTAAATTAGTTTTTGTTATAATTATTAGTTTATTAGTTTATTATTATAAATTAGGGTAAAAAAAGTTAATTAGTTTGTTAGTTTAAGTTATATTATGTTAGTTTAAGTATATCATAGAAATAAAAAATATTTAATTAGAATGTTTGATAGTTACATATTAATAAAAAATAATTAGTTAGTTTGTTAGTCGTTAGTTATATATAAAAAAATATGTAATTAGTTTGTGTTAGTTAAATAGTTAAGTTATATTTGTTTGTTGAATTTATATTATATAAAAATTAGTTAATTAGTTTTTTAGTTTAAGTTATAAGAATAGTTTATTAGTTAAAGTTATATAATAGTTAAAGTTATATTAAAGAATAGTTAATAGTTGTTTAAGGAAAAATTTACATTTAACTTATATTTAAAAAGTTAGTTTGTTAGTTATTATTTATATATTATAAGTTATTATAATAAATGTTTTTGTTGTGTTGTAAAATAGTTAGTTAGTTAGTTAGTTAGATTATATTGGATTATATTATATTAAATGATTCTTTAAATATTGTTGTTTAATTTTTTTTACAGATTCATTCCAATGGATGATCAAATTCCACTGCTGAGACTTGACAATGAACATATTTCAAGTCATTTGTGAATAATGGTGAATAATATATTGTTTAATGAATTATAATTAAAAATATTTGAATATTATTTTATGATTATGATAATTTTTGAATTTTAATTGCAGGAGGACGAGCAGCGAGTCCTTCGTCTTCGGCTACATAAAGTGCACAAACCACACCCATTGATAGAAGAAACTTGCAAGAGGCTGGATTTTGGTATGTAACATTTAATTGCAGGAGGACGAGCAGCGAGTCCTTCGTCTTCGGCTACATAAAGTGCACAAACCACACCCATTGATAGAAGAAAACTTGCAAGAGGCTGGATTTTGGTATGTAACATTTGTGCGAGATTACAAGTTGGTCTCAGGTTTGATCAGTGCGTTGATTGAACGTTGGAGACCAGAAACGCACACGTTTAATTTGCCGTGTGGCGAATGTACGATAACTCTGGAGAATGTGGCAATGCAACTCCGGGTCCAAACAAATAGGATGCCGGTGGTAATGTTACATGAGTTTAATAATGTGGCACAACTTTGCAGCTTGTTTCTTGGGAAAGCGCCCGTACCACCAGAGTGTAGAGGGTGGCGTGTGAGGTTGTCATGGTTGAAGAATGAATTTCAACTTCAACCAAATAGTACGGAGCACGAAATTATATATGCAACACGAGCATATATATTACAGTTGATTGGGGGAATTTTGATGCCTGATAAATCCGGTAGTTATGTTCACACTCAATATCATCTTTTTTTAACAAATTTTGAGAATTGTAGGCAATATAGCTGGGGATCAGCGATATTGGCGTTCTTGTATCGTGAGATGTGCAAGGTGTCATTAGTCGTGAATGATAATAATACAACAGAAATTGGTGGATGTCTGTTGCTGCTACAATCATGGGCTTGGCATAGACTTCCGTTTTTTACACCGATTAGTCAGACTGCGGTTGACTTTCCACTTGCCGGAAGATAATATGAATCCTCTATTTTAATATAAAATATTTATTAGAAAATATTTATTTTGATTAAAATTATTGAATAAAATGGTCATATTTTTGTTTTGATTGATATACAGATGGAGGCATAAAATTGAAGGCACGGGGTTGGTGCACAACAACATTAAAGAGTTCAGGCTGAAGATCGACATTAAGGCCAAAAAGGAGGTATGTATAATCTGTTATTTTTAATTATTATTTAAATTAACTATATTATTTTATTTAAATCAATTTTATTTTTTTTGTAATTTTACAGTTTAATTGGAGACCATACATGAATGAAGAAATTTTTGCGTTGATACCGCATGATTTTTAGATGGGTTTCAATATTGGTGTGCTGTTACACCATTGATCAATTTTGCTTTTGTTGAGATCCAATTTGGGGATAGAGTGCTGAGGCAATTCCACTTCCACCAACCTATTCCGCGGAGTTCATGGGATCATGACCTTCTCCAAAACTTAGATGGTCGTCGTCAGGTGAATTGGGTTGAGACGCATGACGACCTGCACAGATTTGATGGTCGTCGTAAAGAAGGCGTTAATTGGGTTGAGAAGCATGCAACCTACATTAATGCTTGGAACAATAGGGCTTCATTCATGCCAACTCTTGACGCCATTCAAGATGACGAATTTAATTTTGAGACTTCGGCTTACCTTGCTTATTTTTGGGATAATGGAAAGCTGTTCCTCACAACAATGGTAGAGAGGCGACAATTTTTGAAGTTTAAGAAAAGATTTGGTAAAGCTGAATACTCTCTACCGAGTGGGAGTGAGAGTTCATCTCAACAACCTGAAGTGGAAATGACCGATGTGGATAATAGTGCACCATAACCGTTCGGCGATGCGAGCTTTTTGCATCATGCAGTTGATGATTCTACTGTCTCGGCATACATACTAGAGTTTGTGCAGCCTGAGGCACCCATCTATTCTCCTATGTTTTCGTCGACGTATGACTTTGAACACATGGCAGTTCAAATGCCCCAATGAATGAGGAGGATGGGTACCATACTCCTGAGCAACCACAACGGCCACAACGTATCAGACGTCCGCCCCGACAATATCATTCAACAACACCCCGGCATCGACAACAATTGTAAACTCGTTTGCTATTTGTTACAAATTATACATTGAAATTAGACTTGGTTTTTTAACCTTAATAATGATTTTTAGTATCAAATCATTATTATAATTTCATTACTAGTAATCATTA